GAAAAATCAAATTAACTCTCTGAGGAGAGGGCACTTCTGAAATAAAATGGTGGTTTAGGAAACTATTTTCTCAGATCAAGTTTGAAGAATAATAGTGCTGAATATTCTACTTAAGTTTGAAAACTCAAAGCTTCCTTAGTTAAAACAATATACATCTTTGATAGCTTATATTAATGGGTATGGTAGCTTTGCAGAGTATTGTTTATGAATATAATACATACATAGTGCTGGGTTTAATATTTTATTTTAATGATGTTTAATGTTATGCAAAATAAATTGTTATGTTACATCCACTGTGACATCAACTAAAATGTGAACTAGTTTGCATAGGTTAGTACTTTGGGCAGCATGATGTTGCTCTAGTCCACCAAGGCTTAAATATTCACAGTGTAGAGGAAGAAACAGGAATTAAAGCATTTCTACTAAAATATATTTTAATAGCTGGTGTTAACTTTCTGCATAACAAAAGCCAAATTAAGATGATACATCATATGATCCAAGAGTAAGTATATCTGTCCTTTGAAAAACAGTTGTTACCTTCATAACTGTATACTCCCAAATACAGTACAGTTTTGCAAAATAACTAAAACTTTACACACTTTAAAGCAAACATAAGCCAAACTGCACAGCGGTTCATTTTTGCTTTTTATATCACACTGCAAAAACCAACAGCTGAGTTTCCACATCATGCTAATCAATGTCAATACAGTCATTGCTGTCTTCCAATGGTCTAGCAATTTCTAATAGTAATATTAAATACACATGATTGAAATGCTACAGTATAGCTTATTTCCCCCCCTAAAATAATAATAATTAAACAAATGTCAACAACAACTGGATTACAACTTAAGTACAATATGCAAATTCTATTTATCAGACACAAGAAGCATATGAAATTCCTTTGAATATACTGTTGTAGTGCAGGCAAGTTCAGGAAATATAGCTTTCAGGTTTTCTTTCAAAAGGAGAGATGGGGTTCCTATGGCATAAAGCTGGAGAAAATCACTAAAGCATTGCAAAATTGTTTATTCTTCTACAGCTCACCAGTACTTTGCATTTGCCAGCACATCAGTTTGGAGATCTTCTTTCAACAGCGTCTTTTGTCTGTTTCAGTATATTATTTAAACTTTTACTAACTAAAGCATATTCTGTATTTTAAATGGAGTATTAATCAACATAATTAAAATCTAACATTTTATACCCTGTACCACTTTCTGCCAAAGACTTCTGTATTTGTCATTTCTTTTTCATTGTACAAGATGACATGCAGTCACTGTACAATAAAAAATAGAATTATTACCTTTCCCAAGTACTGGAGACCTTCCATATCCCCGAGGAGCACTTGGTAGGGACACATTTGTCAAAAATATAATCCATGGGAGGTGATTCTCTGTCAAATCCCAATCTGCTGAAGTGGTTTATGGTATGTCAAATGTAATCAAGAAAACCCTGTTTCATCAAGATGAAATGCTAATGTTCCATAATGAAAAATTACAACTGCAGTATCCGTAAGTAGCTTTGTTTAGAAAATGAAGATTAGCCAGGCAAGAAAGAGTAATGAAAAGCAAGGCACCCATTTGTTCTTGTATATATGTATGAATACGCTCTATGTTGTTTTCTACATTTATACTTGTGTTAGCAAGAATTACAGCACATTGTATCTTCTTTATCTCTAAAATGCTTAAAATTTGAATGTGTGAACTTCCAACCTGAACTTTGGAACATCTTGGGAAATGTGGCTCCTTAAAAGTCTTTTTCTTTCCCCAGAAAAACGTTGTCTACAGGAAGAAAGTACAGTGAGGGGAACATGCTGTGATAAAAAGGAATACATACTTTAAAGGTGACAAGACAGCATATAACATCTGTTCACCCCTATATCCCACTGCATGTAACAGGCTCCAGCATATGCCTTGTAAAACCTGTGCTGGCACAATTTAGCTGCTGACTTACTTTACCTACCTTACGAATTTTAGATCCTCAAAAATGTTTTTATAATTGCACTCTGATAATTTTGGGCCTTTGATAGCATTACTTAGAATAAAGATGTATAATGACACTAAAGTTTGTTTTATATCAAAAAGCAGGAACCATTCCATGTGAACACAAATTACTAAGCATATACAACATAAAAACCTGACTACACGAATGAGTAACTTAAAACAGATCTTAATAATTCTGCTGACATACCATTCTCAAGAGAAATACAATTCACATACTGTTTTGTTTTCTTGACCTTTTTTATTTTGCAAATTGCTTTAGCTGCTTTGCCAGGCTAATGAACATTCAAAATTCATAAAGGAAATTTTATTTCCATTGTTTAGCATAACAGAGTCCCCTAATGTCATCAAATGCTCATTTTCTGATTTAGTTTTCAACACTGCAAGCCATCTCCTCACTTAGGAAGAATGCTAGTGTATTTATAGATGGAGACTTTCTTTTTTATAAGTCACTAAAAATTGCAACTTGATGCAATATATCTATTCCTTATATTTCTTTTTACTCATATCTGGTTAACAAACTGACAACTTGTTTTTATTGTTGTCAACATTACACAGCTAATAGAGCAGCACAGCAGCAAGTGACAGCCAATTCTGCCTCAGGCATCATCAGAAAAATTTGCCAGCCATTGTAAGATGGGATTCCTCTCCTTGCTGTTGATGGCTGGTGATGAACACCAACACAGAAGCAGACTGCTTGTTTCAGAGCTTCTAGCTCAGCTTACCACATCAGCCTTTTGAAAAAGCTATTTGACTTGCAAAGCTTGCTAGTTGAATGTGGAAGTCACCAGTAATGCATAAGGGTCTGTTGCAGCAGCAGCTCTATATGCAAAACTTTCAAGAATTTTAAATTACAGCAGTGTCACCCATACAGACTGCATATTTACAGTATTGCATCCCTGGTTTTAAACCACATTTTCTGAAGTTAGATGCTCCTGGTCAGCCTTAGCCTTGAAATTAGGCAGCTGACAAGAAAGCACAGGCAGTTCCAGAGTCATGGACATCTTTTAATTTTTCTTTTTTTAATGCAGTCATGCCACCCTGTTTGGCAGCTGGGATCAGCTCCATGTTAGCAACACGTAAAAAAAATTGCATAAGCTTTCCAGTTCCTAATTGTATGCAAAAATAGAACTAGCAGGTATTTGCATTGACAACTTTCAGTTGACATAATGAATCCATACTGCCTTCCTTCTTTATTCCTCAAATAGATATTGCAGACTGGCTTACTTTGTGAAGCAAGAAATACAAAATTGTCTATAAACTCTGTATTTAATTCTACTTTAAAAATTTCAGAAATGGAAGAAAGCCAGCACAGGCTCAACATTCTGAGAGCTACTCCAAAATTAACTTCTCTAGCACATGGCTAAACAGAACAAAAGATACTATCAGCAAAAATATTGTCCTCCTTACACATGTGTGCATCCACATGAGTAAGTCCCCCATGAATCTTTAACTCTTTTGTCCTTTCTCCCAGAGTTTCTCTCTGGGAAGGAACGTGGCACCCTCCTGGCACCCAGTCAAAGCAAAAGCAACTTCCCTGCGACCCAAGCCTGCTGACACAGCCCCTCTTACAGGTCCATTATGTCACCAGTTATTTGACCCTCTCCTCAGCCTCACAGACTGAGACCTGGATCTCTCAGTTCTGATCACAAGTTAATGGACACCAAGTAGCATATGTGAAGGTTTGTCAGCAAAATGGTTTTTCTCTTTTCTACGGATGGCTAAACTGAAGCATGATGGCATAGAGTATGTTGGACTTCTGTTTGGTTAGTTTTCCCTTCAGTGCCAGTCATGAGAAAGATTAAATCAGTAAAAGAAAGCATAATATTTCTCCATCATTAATCATTTGGCAAGCGTACAACCCACTGTTGGATCACCAAGATTTTTGGAAGAAACTGAAGCAACAGGCCATTGAGCTGAAATGCACTACAATAACCAGAGCTCTCCTCCACTCCTCAATGGAGGTGCAAGTATTTCTGCAGCAGGGGGAGGTACATTAGCTCATCAGCAAAGCAGCCATTAAGCGAGTTACCTGTGGTAAGAAGGAGGGATGTGACTGCAGGCTTTGTGTGACTGCACAGCACAGGGGCCTCATACCGGCTATTTATTTACAGCAGTACAGGTGAAGGTAAAGGAACTAACATGAAGTATTGGTTGTACATTGCCCTAATGGAAGTTTCTATTTAAATGCTAAGTATTATTAGAAGGAAACAGAAGAGTTGACAGGTTTTATACTCTAGATAGTCTTTGCAAGGAATTTTCTGTGGAAAAGATACCAAAGAACCATGAATCCAGGCATGGATCTAACTGATGGACTGGGATGCAAGCAAAGCTGATAGAAGAGGTCACTTGGAAATAAGAGAAAATGGTAATCCAGGAATAAATGTGGGTATGCAAGAGTCAGGAAATTTTTGCTGTCAAAATAGACCTGTTTACTGTAAGGCTGCTGGGCGGTAGGGGTTTTTATTTGTTTTTTTAGCAGCACATTACTTGTCATTATTTCAAAAGATTGAATTATCTACACAACATTTTTATTTTTATTAGGATGCTAACTGCTCAAACATCAAACACCTCCCTAATAATTTGAAGATGTATTCAAACTCAGTGTGTTAACCTCCTGTGACTTCAGAGTGCCATAAGAAGTGAATTGATTTTATGACTGTTATTATAGAGAGAAATAATGTCTTCGAGGTGCAGGGAAAAGGTTATTTCCCCTTTACAGCTAATTGCCTGAAGTCTTTATAGGATTGGCAGCACCAGGCTTCCATATATGTTTTTCATTTTGAGGGAGCACTATTATAAGCAATGCTGTTTTCAAAGCTCTGAGCTTCTTGTTGATTATTTGTCTTTAAAGGACTCTAAATTGGATTCTGAGTGAGAATGCAGACTGTTATAGCAGTGATAAAGTAATGAACATGTACTCTTAAAAGATTTTTCTGACTTTTTCTAAAAGGTTAGATTCTGAGTAAATCATAATAAAGCTCAAAGGACTAGAGACAAAAATTAGTTAACAAACTCAATATAATTTGCTGGAAGCATTCCTGTTTTCCCAGTTCTCTGAACAGTACCATACATCCAGCCATCATCAATTGGTTGCACATTGATGATATAATCACCATCCCTGAAGGAAACTTCATCTTCATCTTGAGCACTGTAGTCATACATAGCTCTGTATGTTCTCTGTTGAAGGAAAGAAAACAAGGCTGTAAAGTCTCAAGCCTAAACAGAGATGGATTCCTTTTCTTCTTTGCACAAAGAAAATGAAAAGAACAGGAAAAACAACAAAGGGAGCAAGGCAGAGAGAGAAATCATGTTACCTGTTGAAAAGAAACCGTACACCTTCCACCCTATCAAATACACAGTGAATACAGCCCCTTTTTCTGAGTACCAGAATAATTATTTTTGTGAACCTAGACTGTCCAAAGTCCTCATACAAACAGATTCAAACCATTCACTGCCTCTTGAAATATTCCAACTGTTGTTTCATATATTCACTAGTAACAGTTCATTACATCCAGCCATGGCTAGCTCTGCTTCTGCTCCCTATTTGCATGACTCCCAAATAGCTTCTCCTGTGTCTTCACTACAGAAAAGAAACAGTCTTCATCCAGGTCATTAACTTTGCCATCTCACTGAATGTCTTTCTTTTCATTAGGATTTCACTCCAAATTAAGAATTAGGAATCTATTATTATCTAATGAAAAAAAAAAGACAAACAAGATTTTTAAAAGTCTGCAAAAATAATTTTTATGAATACTCATTTTTGCATATTCATATAAAAGAGTGATCTAAACAGAACACAAAGTCCTATCATTAGCTAAGCCAAATTTCTCTACACCTCTGCCTGCTGTAAGCCAAGATTTCAATTTTCTTTCTAAATAGACTATGTATTTCCACTCAAAACCAATAAAATGCTATCATTTATTGGAATTCAAAGTGGATTTTCAAACTCAGAGGGAAGAGTCTCCCCTTGTATCTTAACAACAGAACAAAACTACTTCATTTTAAAATTCCCAGGACTACTTTCTTTTCCTTACCCTGTCTCTCAACAGAAGTCAAGAGCAGTTCAAGCATCAGTGATAATATTCAATTTCCATACCAGCAATTTTTGATATGTCACCATATCTAGAAAAATGTTATTTTTCTGGTACAATGATTTAAAGAGAAAAAAGGTAAAAACAGCCAATGTTTAAGTTAATGCCTAGTACTCTTGTCTGAACCTTTTAAGAGACAGCAAACTTTGTTCTGCTTCCCAGCTGACGAAAACAGCTCTGAATTAGTTTTAGTCCATCTCATATGCATTTTTTGTTTTTAATGAAATTATTTTCAGAAAAGATGGAGATTCCTCCACACACAGTGAGTAGGCCATTTGTCTCATGTTGGAAATGTGGGATCATCTAATCCAAACACTATGGAGCAACTCATTATTGCTGTTCCCATGCTAGAAATGCACTTTCTGTCTTGATTCTGCCTTTATCATTGGTAACGCAGATTAAACACCACAGAGAAATCAACTCCTGCTTAAACACTGGAGACCACTACCTTTCCTGACAAGCCTACTCTGAACAATATTTGAGTCTTGCTCTGTATAATTGTCCTCTGCCATGCCTTGTAATGTTGCTGCCCTACAGGCTGTGACCAAGAGCGATTTTCAACCAGAAGTACGTGGTTTCTTAATGTCTTCCAAGGGTTCATGGTGAAAAAAAGCATCATTGCTTATGCAGTACATCAAAGCAACTAATTGGGAGGGTTCTATTGTCACCAAAAATTCCTTAAAGATTCACAAACTAGAAAACTAGCAGTCAGAAGACCCTAAGGAATGGTCTCTGCCTTTGACAATCTTATTTTTTCCAACTATTTCAACAGATCTCTCTACTGAGCCATGAAACTAACTCCAAAAAAACAGTGAAAAATATGCTATTACAACAAGGTCAGCAGCAGTTAGTCCTTTAAACAATTTATTTAAAAAAAAAGTCCATTAAAAAAAATAGCAGTAAGTCCCTATCTGGCACAAGGCAGAGAACAGATTTGCCTTTGAGCCATGCGTATATGTTTCCCTTAAATGGGCAAAGACTGGGGAAGAGATTAAATGTTTTATTAAACTAACATAAAATTGGAAAAAAACAGAGAAGTTTTTGCCCACCCCAAGGGATGCTCACTCATCCTTAGAACATCATGGTATAGGACATACTACTGCTGTCTCCTTTAAGGCAGCTTGACTACATCACTGTGGTGGCACAGTTGTGAAGACAAGCTGGTAATTTCAAACTTTAAAAAAATTTATTAGGGCCCTAAATGCTGCTGAGAAACCTAAATTTATGGCCTTAACACCTAATTAGGTGCTTAATGGCTGTCAGGAGAAATCTCCATAATAATCCTGTTAGCATTTAATGCCTAATTATCACTTCAGAGTGTAGTCTGGGCTATATAATTGAGAATTACAATGCTTAAAGGACTCAAAGAAGGGTTTTTTAAAATGCATTTTAGTGAATTATTCCTCTGTCAGTAGTGAGTTTAGCAGGTACTAAGAGCACAAGAGGGTATAAGAAAAGGTTGGGGTTTTGTAAAACAGTCAAATACCCACTTATCTCCCACCTCCTCAAAGGTCTAACTTGCAGCTACTGCTTAGACAGAACAGTAACTCTTGTGCATGTAAGTATTGAAGCCAGGTCCTATGTTCCCAGTTCCCCAGACAGATGTGAACTGACAGATGCATATTTCCACTTCATCCACCAGCTTATACTTATTCTATGGATTGTTTCTTGCAAGGAAAAGTTCCTGTTGCAGGGTCCTTCACATAGAACAGCTATCAAGGAAAGCTAATTTGCAACCTAAGTTTTGTTTTCTTACTGCTTTTAGTTATCTAAAGACACGAGAACGCCGTCTGTTATCTTCCAAAGAGGCAAACAGCCTTCAGGGGTCTCTTACAAAACATTCTATACTCCGAGCAACAATTTAATTCAGCCCATTATGCAGAACTGCTCATAGAAAGTGAGAAAAAGTTAAGAATCAGAGAATAAGAGAATTTATCTAGGGAAAAAAAAAATACCCAGAGACTGTGTTAGGATCATGTTCAAAATTAAGTAAATCAGAATTTGAAAATTTAGAAATTAGAAAATTTCCATTCCTCAGTATAGGAGATTGGCGGACATGATTATAAAATGAACTTTTGTCTTTTGGGGACCCTGATTTGATAACAGTGCAACAAACCAGCTGAAATGAGTAGGTTTTACTACAGCAGCTAACTCTCCAATCATCCCCGCCCTGATATAACCCATGGGATCTTAATCAATCTCACCCTAGAGATGTCTGGCCAAGCTCAGGCACTGATGGGTGACTTTGTCACCTTCACTGCTTTTAGTCAAGTCTCAAAAACTGCTTGTGCTTTGAGACCAGTATTCAGGCTGGGATTTCTTTCCTCCCATTTCTTCCCCCTCTTACTTCTTTCTTCCCTCTGTCTGGCTTAGTCAGACAAGGCTGCATCTCTGGCAGTACTGCTCCAAGCCCAGAACTGAACCTACAGCTGAAAGCAATGAATGCCATGATCTTTACAATATAAAATGCCATGGAGTTTCAGTCTTGAAGGAAAATACTAACGTTGTGTAAGTTTGTCAAGATTTCCTAGGGTGTGTCCACACTGCATTGGAAAAGCACTCAAAGGCTGCATTCCATCTTCAGTCTGTGCAAATCGCTACACTTAAACACATCCCCAACCAGAAGTTTCCCCCAGCACACACTGGGTGCCATCCCAGTAGCTGAGTGTGACATGTCCAGCACACCTCGATAAGCTGCACAAGCTAAAGAAAAGATAGTTTTTGATGTGAAGGTTGAAAGACAAGGGGGTATGCCAAGTTTCTAGCTGCATCTGAGATGCTTCTTTTGGAGCAGAATCATCACCCTGGAGGGTGATAAGATCACACTCTGTCTTCCTCACTAGACTAGCAAGTTAGCCGTCAGCATCAGGCCAGCAGTCCTTGATTTTCTCCTTCTGGAAATGTTTGGGGTTTATCGTCTTTAAGGAAACCCACTCTGTTTTTAACGGCAACAAGATCCATTCAAATTCTGACTTTTGCTGTTTCCTTTTTCCCCATGATAAACAGCTATTACCACTTAAAAGAATGTCAAATGACAACAGTTTCACAAAAAAGTCAACCCTTTATTTTTTAAATGCTTTAACTTCACTCCCTTCCTTTTCCTATTACCTTTGCATTCCCATTTCTGGAAGGAAAGACAAGTGAGGATTCTCAAGGTGATTGAAACGGTATTATTTCAACAGGCAGCCCACCAGGTAAGTCACTGAGAGACAGAGATACCAGAGAAATAGTAGCCATCTACTGCCCATATAGCTATGAATGCTGCTAAATGCATTTCAAAATTTGCAGGCATCTCCATCCTCTATCTGCTGGACTGGAAGCTGCTTTGCTCCCCACTGACTAGTAAATCTGCTGGCAAAGCCCAAGCTTCCAGGTCTCCCACTTTTTGGACTCTGGCCCTTCTGGAAAGCATCCAGTTCCCCAAGTGCCTAGCGATATCCTTGGAAATTCATGGTTGATTCCAGTATCAGCTGCTTCACAGCTGCCATGCAGGTGTCCAAGGAGTTTCCCAGGTTATTGGCTCACCCAAAGATGCAGGTATCTGGATCCCAGACTTCTGAGCAAGTTAGCCCCCCCAGCCCCCAAGCAGCTGAAAAACTGGCAAGCCTGAAAGCACCCAAGCCTCCCAGAATGCCATGATCTTTACAATATAAAATGCCACGGAGTTTCAGTCTTAAAGAAAAATACAAGTTTTTGCTAATCTTGAAAACAGTTTTTTTCAGCTCAGCAAGCTCTAAGTTTGGTTCATAATTAAATACTTCCTCTCTAAAAAAGGTGATAGAGGTAGTAAATTAACATCAATTCAAAACAGTTTAAAATTCAAAATTACAAGTCAATATTTTTAAGGTAAAAGGTGACTGAATCTGAACTATGAAATCTCTAGGCAGTGATATGATAAAAAAAAAATGATAACCATTAAAACTGAACTTTAAAGAGTTCAAAAAGAAAAAAGAAGCTCAATTTCTTAAAAACCCCAGCTGAATACCTATTCAGCTCTCCTTCCATGACCAGTTACTTCTAAAATGAAAATTCACTCCAGCTTCACATTCCCATCCACCACAATTAAGAACTTCATGACTGTGGCCATGGTTTCATGATAAAGCTTCTCAGTCACCCAGCAGTATAACTCAATTTGGACCAGGCACGAGTGGGTGCATGACTGTTCTGCTGAATTAGAAATGGCACACCAATATGGAGTCTGAGCTAGTTTTATACAAGCCTTTGTATAAAAGATGAGTAATATGGATAGGCACAAAGCCTGCTAGTACAACATCAGCAAGTAAAAAAATTTTAAACAAATTTAAACCAACAGCGTGATCTTAAGAGATCAGTGGTTTTCATCCAGCACTAGGGAGCCTGAATTCATCACAGAGCATAGCGTCAAAGCTCAGCCTGTGAAATACTGTCCAAGCGTTTACTATTTGTTTTAGCAGGTAGAAGATTGAGTTATTTTCTGCATTCTGGAGATCATAAATGATTTTTTTTAATGCATTCTGACAGAAAAGTTCTTGCCACTGTCCTCAGTCACTTAATCTTTTTTATACATGAGGACTATTACTTACATTTAGGACTAGGACAGTCAAATAGTCCAACTATACAATTCAAGGGGACCAATTCACTCATGTTTAAGAGATTTCACAACAGCTGATGATGTTGCTTATCAAATAAAATTGTTCTTTAAATCCAGTACTCACCAGACCTGCTGAATGAGGCTGTGAATGCATGGACCTCATGGATGACATACTGGTCTGGTGCATGTATCCATATCCTTGGGACTGGCTTTGCTGATATGCCCCAGGGAGAACAGGGGCTGTGTGTTAAAGAAATACAGACACATTAATTAAGTTTAAAAAAAAGTCCTTCTCTAGCATTTTGTAGAAACTGTAGATTACTTGCATTGTAAATAACAATTCCTCAGTATGAAACAGTTCAGAATGATTTCTATATACAACATAAGGGTTTTCATAGGTTGAATTACACATAAATGTAGCCAAAGCTATAGTAATATATCCACAACCACATCAAGGTTAGTTAGAAGGAAAAGCTTAACATACCTTAAGACCTCTGACCATAGAAAGGCGTACGAAAGCTTGAGACATCACTAACTCAATTTTGATACTGCCATAGATGACGCTCTAAATATCATGTGCCATAAACTGACATTTTTAAGGAAAGATTGATGAAAAAAGCTACATACTAATACAGTTTTGAAATGTTTCAGTAGAAATTCTCTGCAATTAGTTCTTAACTCATTTTAAAGTAGCTCTTATTTATTGGGCTATGAACAAAGAAGGACCGTGATTCACAGGAAGAGACAGAAATATAAAAAAGTGAGCCCACAGTTGGGTTTCTTAATTTATTCTGATTCTATCAACATTCTTAGTCGAACAGAGAGGGATCAATGGTTACTGAAATCTTTCCGAGTCCACCTCTTTCAATACCTTCCTCTTACCACACAATTGTTCCACCTCTTTCACAAATATTTTATTCACAATATTTTAACAATAACATTATTTTAACAATTCCATAGACTAATTATTAATATGTTGACTTTTATTGTACCAAGAGCTGTTGAAAGAGTTAATATAATCAACAGGGACTCTCTACCTCTAATGCTTACTAGGAAAGCATTTGTAAACCTTCCATAGCTGTTCAAACATCCTACTTTGGCAACAGACCGAATCAGAATGTGTTAAAAACATGTTTGATCAAAGATCTGTGAGAAAAAAAAGCACAGCATGGGTGACTATCCACTGTTTTCCCACAAGCCCAAGAAGCATTTATAAAGCAAAATTAAGAGACTGAAGTGCTTTTCAAAATCTAACAACTAAAAGTTTAGTCACCACATCTCTGTTCATGTTTTGCAAGACTCTCGTGCACTCTGCGAATAAAGATTTCTTGCTTGTATGGAGGTTATTAGCCCATCTCCCATTGTTATTTACCAGAATTTTTACTAGTTCAACTGGAAAGTCATTTAGCTACGCTGAAAACAAAATGCATTTCTGTTGATACTTCTTTAAGTGATCCATTTAGCCAGTATTCTGTCTAACTCCTCTGACAAAAGCTGTCTTTCGCTTACAGGAGATGGAGCCTCTGCAGCCCACGAGTCAAAAATCTTCAACCATGGAGTCAATCAGCAGTCTGATACTTTCCAAGATACATCTCATGGGCTTGTTAGGAAGTGAAAAAACACTTCTGGAACACCCATCACACACAGATTCAGAAAGGAGCAAAGCTAATGTAGGATTTAATTGGGTTCACAATGTGTGGAAGGACCCAGGCCTTGTAAAATGAAAAGACACAGGAGAAGCAGGAAACCATAAAAACCAATAAAATATATAAGTAATATTCATATTTGCAGTAATAATACTCTGTCCTCCTCTGCTTCTTGAGTCATCAGGACAATACATGCACGTGAAAAAGATTACCGAGAAAATGTTTGCTGAACTATTTCAGAAAGAAAGGTCAACCTTGTGCTTTCAACAAGGTGTTTTACCTATCCTGCTTCCCCAAATAACAATATCATTGATTTCAACAAAGTTTTTCCTTAAAACATCCATTTAGTTTTAGTTAGCACATTTAAATGCACCAAATATGTAACTACAATTTGGGATGTTATTTTTTTGCTCTACTATACTTGTAAAGATAAGTAATGCTGTATATTTAACTAGGGGTTTTCTGATTTAGAAAACACGTTTCAAACTATTGTAATTGTTTCGTTAAGTGAGTGAAATTAAAGTGATACGCAGTCAGATGCAACACTGGAACATGATGAATAATGGATGTCTTAGAAGTGCCAAGTTCATTCTAATGACATATGAGTACAAAGACATTTTTAAGGCAGTTTAATCATCAGAGAATTGCTGCTTGTTAACATGTTCACAGGATTATCATGCATTAAGTGAATAGTCCTAAGTAATTCATCAAATAATTTATGTTTCAGTGTTGTTACAAGCTATTCCAACATGACCAGATGTAGCCCTTCATGAGAAAATAGAGAAAAACATAATTTAATCAAAGGTTCTGCGATCAAGCCAGAATGAATATATTTTGCCTAATTCACCACCAGCATAAACGTAGGTCAGTCCATAGAAGCAAATGGAGTCTCACCTCCTCATACCAGTAGTAAATTGGTCATGGGGGTTGAAAACTGAGCACAGCTTGAACTTTTTATCTTAATAGGAAGTAGTATCTTAAGCCGACACTGGCCGCTGATCAGTCAGCACCCTGCCTGCTCTGCAGCAACAAAGGGCTGGTAGCTTTTCCCTGGTCCCTGGCAGAAGATGACACCCTGAGAGTCCCTTTCTTCTTCCTAAGAGAAGTGAAGACGCTGGTAGAAGCTTTTTACTCTTGATTCCTTCTCCCCAAAACAGATCTTTCTCAATTCCTACCAATCACCCCTTGTCAGTGTAAGGCAGCAAGCCTACTGATGGTCAGCTTCATTACAGCCTCCAAATCGACAGGCTTGTTTTGGGGAGGATAACCCATACCTCCCGCCTCTGCAACAACTGTCAGCAGCAGGTCTGAGACGTGCTTTCCTCTTTTGCAATCAGCTTCTCACAAGCTGAGAGAATTCTGTCAAACTGTCTCAGTGAACCTGTTTGCTAATTTACCTGCAACAATGGAAACCATAAGCCCAGGGAAACAAAGTATTTCTTCCAAAGCAGAAGAAATTTTGGGAAGAATTAGAAGCTGAAGTATTAGAAAAAGATTCCATACAAACAAAAAGAAGTAATTTCTAGGTGCTAATTATCTTCCAGTCATTTATTTAGGTATCATATATATCGGCACTTATCAGTGTTGAAGACAGTTGACTGAGTAATTTCACCCTTTTCTTCCATTAAAAGAATACTGTAGTAGGGCTGCAAACAATGATCAATAGTTTTTAACCATTTTTTACAAAAATATTTAATAACTTTCCAGATGGTTGTCTATTTGGAAGGTAATTTAGGAATCACATAAATAAGCAGATTAGTGAAGAGGCAATAGATCTGAGCTGTGTTTCTGGTGACATACAGGTAATTTAAGGTGTGATTAAAAAAGAGTTTGACTTTTTTTCATCATCATCATCATCACCCATAGTTAACCGCAATCTTTTGGCTCAGACCAAAATATAAAGTTCTATAACATTGACTGCAGCAGCAGCAAAAGCAATGGTTTTAGTTAACCTAAGGGAACAATAAAACACAGTGGTGGAACACGAAATTCATTTAGCTGAAGCCAGATTTATTGCTGAGGGAGCTGAGGGCTGACCATTGCTCCCAGAAGTACAGGTGGATGTTTTTTCTTGTTGCGTTAAGACTTTACCAGATGCATTCTGATGTATCAAAACTTATTTTCTTGTTGCACTTACCAAGCAAGCCAGATATTCATTTTAAATTATCTATTTGAAGGAATTTATCATATTTCTCTTACTATATCTTTATAGGCTTCCTCAGAGAAAAGAAAGAGAAAAATGAACAAACATGATAAAGGCAAACAGAGAGGAAGCCTCCAAGAAAAAGAAGCAGCTGAAAGAATAATAGCGGGTATCAACTGGCTGCAGCAGACAATGGGGTCTGCAGAGTGTGTACCCATCAGGACATGCTTTAAGAAGGATTGGGAAAGAAAAAGATCAGACTGTGGCAACAGTAAAGGAATAATTAAGAGAGCGTTGTAGTAAAAAAAAGTTTATGCCGAAAAGAAAAATCATTTAAAGGGCAGGTTCCAAGAGATAATGTTTTATCAAAACCATACTTAAACTCTCTTTCATTCTTTCGTACAGCAGACCCTCAATGTATCCCCGCGTGAAGTGATTACTACTTTATATGCCACTTACTAAACCAGATGTAAAGTAATAATCCCTTCATTTACTCCTACAGACATCATGCAGTTTTAAGCATTTATTTCACTTTATGTGTTGATGTTAATTCATGTTCTCACTACTAGGCTACTAAGACTTCAGAGAACTCACTAAGAATAGTGCAACATTTTGTAATAACAACATAAGAGAGCAGGAAGTAAAAAGACAGACAATTACTATTACGTGCTTAATTCTAGCATCTGTAAGAGCATGATCAAGCTGTAGATTTTCTGAGGAGAACAAAAGTTGCAATAGAGCTAGAATCATACATCTTTGTGTTACTGACACTATGACTAGCTTCCTGAAAATAGATGAAGCTGCTTATGGGAACCATGTTGCTCCACATACGTTGAAGTCCTTCTCCTGTTTTGCCTTGCTGCTGCCTTATCTTCCACAGGTTGCAGCATCTAGAGTAGCCCTCATGGTCTTAAAAAGTCTCTCCCATAGCTTTCAGTTCCTTCTTTCTCTTGGCCTTCCCTTAGAAATTACTCAGCTATGTCCCATGCAGCAGAAAACATTGTCAAAGCAGCGATGCAATCACACATGGGGAAGTGTAGGTCTAGAGTACACTTCTGGGGTACTCGGGTACACCCCACAGGTTGTTCATGTGGATGGGTCACTGCCTGAACTGCACAACCCCCTTGACCACTTCCCAGTCCAAGTTACAAGACTGCATAGCTAAGGAGATACAGCCTTAGGGTAAGCTATTATTGCTGTGTTGAAGCTGGTGGATAATAACAACTGATACCTTTTTAAAGTCTTCTCCAGAAAGTGTCACGGAGGTAACTTTGCTTACAAACTCTGGCTCAGTACTTTACTTTTTTGTTTTTTATCACTTTCCCCCAATGTTGGCTTCTGCTCCCCATCATTAAAATATTTAAAGTGTTTTGAGCTAAAATTTGTATTGCCAATCACATCCTTGAACAAAGTGGTACATTATCATCACTTACCAAGACTAGCATACTTGA